AGGTACTAGCCTGATGGAATTTTCTATTCAGTGACAGTTCATTGGAATGCAGCTCCGACTGGACGACAAGACATGGGTTTTTGTTCCCAAAAGGACAAAAATCTTTTGTTTTGTCCTCCAGTTAAAACTTCTTTTGAAGTTACATGCAAGAGATTTATAAATTACGAGCCTTAAAAAAATAGTAGACATTTTTATCTAGTATATATTGCACATTTTCCTTTAATTGATTCTCAAACGTTTCATTATTAGTATGTTTATTTGTCTGGCAACAAAACTAAATATTCAATACAACTCTACCCTAGCTACTTGTATTTCTCTTCTTCYTCCTTAGATTTATTAGTTGCATTATCTATGGGACCTTAACTTTACCAAACGAACGTTTTCCCATTATGATTTCATATACTCGTTTGTTTACTTATAACGTTGTTAAAAAAATTGTTTCAGATCGTTGCCAGCTCAGATTAGCAAGCCATTTGATCCAGTACACCTGTCGTCAGGTGCTAGTGCGCCTACTCAAAGAGTACAAAACAATGGTCCTAGTTTTTGTTCTGCTCCTCCAATACCACCAAGACATGATCTTGATCTTCTAAGGAGCCGCCCAATTCCGACGCCTGATCAACTGAAGGATGTGTTTGGTGGTCAGGATCCACCCCTTATTGACTTCTCAACCGAACTACAGGCAACCGGTACTCTTAAACATGGTGATAGAGCAAATAGAGAAGAAAACCGTAGTTACATCACAGGAAAGGGTCATTCCTCGAACGAAGAGAACGTAGTTCCAGAAATAAATCCAGATCATACTGACAGACTTCAAAAAGAGGATTGTAAGCCAAATAATAAAGATCGCCCGCTAATCTATTTGTCTACATCCGCAATGCCTTTAAATTCTGATGGACAGGGTGGTAGGACACAAAAGAATGAAACCTTTCCGCTTATTGACTTGAGTGAAGAACATTTAGCAATCACCACAAATGCCATGGAAGTACCGTCACCACGTCCGTGCACAGCTCCACAGAGTACTACCGTGAGAAATGAACATAACTCCGTCAAAAATATTCTTGAAGGAAT